TTTACAAATTCCAAAACTTGAGGGCAAGTTTTGAAACTATTCAAAACTAATTAATTCCATAACTTATGTGTTTAAAGTAGTTTTAATCCAAAAACTCTTCAAGTTCCATAACTTGAGGACAAGTTATGGAAGACTTTAAACTAATAAAAGAATTAACTTTTTCTTTATTTTATAACTTATGGAATTAATTAAGGTTACATTTATTATTTTTTATTTTTTATTTAATGAAGAGACTCTTGGTCCTCCATAACTTGAGGACAAATTATGGAGTCATAACTCCAATTAATTAGAACTAGACTCTTCATTTTGTAACCTTTGCCAACTTTTATGAGTTTTATGAAACTTAAATGTGACTTTTCATATAACTTGAGGACAAGTTACAAAAACACATTTTAGAATCAACTCTTAGATTAATTTGGATTGAAAACAACTATTTCATTCAACTTTTCTATTAATCTAAGCAACTCATAAGAACAAGATAATTCAAATCAAACTTTTTCATGTAATTAGTCTAACCTTTAAACTAATACAAAACATGAATCTATTGACAATTATCTTTGAAATTGGATTAGCATGAACATTACCACATCAAAAACAAGTTTATAAGTTCAAAAACCTTTAGGGTAATGTTCCTAGTCCATTTCTAGCCAAAAAACTCGAAAATATGCTGTCTGGGGTCCAACTCGTCGAGTGCATGAACCAACTCGGCGAGTTGGATCGATTTCATCATTTTAGGCATGGACTCGCCGAGTCTCCTGTGGACTCGCCGAGTCTGATGATCAGACAGCAACAATTTCGATTTTTTCAGTTTTGCAAGTATAACAAGAAAACAAGCCTAGGCTCTGATACCACTGTTGGGTTATGAGCATTCTAACACTCCTAAGTGTACATGCAACCCTAAATACCTTGGATCTATGTTTTCTCTATTATACATGCAAATATCAACTTTCCAAGGTATTTCTATCTAGCATACTAAACTTGAATAACACAAGTTAGAATAACATACCTTTTGTTAGTGCTTGTCTTCATGAAGCTTGAGTGCCTAGTGCCCCAAGTGTGACACCTCAAATGGTTCACACAACACCAAATACACTTGGAATAACTTGAGAGAATTCTACACTTCATGAAATCGGCTAGCCCTCTCTAGAATAATACTAGTGCCGATTTTGTCAAGAATAATATCTTTATATAGTGTTACAATTAGGGCAAACCCTAATTGTCATGACTTTCCATTTCCTTGGATCCATGGGTTCAAATACACCATGGAGCATCCATGGAGCATCATATGGGTTTTGGCCCAACTAGATAATCCATGGAGCATTAGCCCACTATACAAGTATGGATGATTTACACAATCAACCCATATATTTAATTAGTCTTCTTTTGATCACTTAATTAATCCTAGATTAATTCTTGATCAATACTAATTAAATAATCTTATTATTCTTATTATTAATATACTAGAACTTATAATATATTAATAACCGTAAGTGTCTTGTTTCTCTCATTATAGTCTATCCAAGTGCATGATGCCATGCAACCCAAATGGACCATGCCGGGTCGGGTCAAGTCTTACCAATTATAGTTATGGACTTAGACATTAATCCAACACATAAGCATGCTTATATAGTGTGCATGGTTAGGGTGAAACCCTAATAACCCATGACCTTTCCTTTTCCAAGGATCCATGGGTTAAAAGCTCCATGGATCATCCATGGACTTCCATATAAGCCTAGCCCATTAACTAATGAGTGTTATCCCACACCATATAAAACAATAGCCTACAATTTAATTAGTCTTCCTTTTAATCTCTAAATTAATTCATAATTAATTTAAGACTAAGACTAATTAAATAACTTCATATTAATATATTATAACTTACAATATATTAATAAACATATGTTTATAACTCTCATAAAATGATCCATAAATAGTTCGGGTGAAGTGCAACCCAAATGGACCATGCCGGGTCGGGTCAAGTATATACCAAATAAGTTATGGACTTAGACACCTTATTGAACATATAGATCGTGCATATTATTAGCCTTGCCAATCATCTTCTTGTTATGGATATCCTGGATATAATCATGATGACATGTAAACTGAAAAATAAGGTGTTGTGTTCTGGTGAGAGCACTAACTGATATGAGATTTAGATCAAAATCAGGGACATAAAGAACATTGTGCAATGTGAACAAATAACCAGTCTCAATATCTCCAATCATATGAACAGGTAAAACAACCTTATTTGGATGAGTAACAGTATGATGAAAAACTTTCCTTATGTGGATGAACATGGTAATGTCATGACATACATGTTGAGAAGCTCTAGAATCTAAGATCCACATGTATGATTTTGAACCATTATTAATGGTTAAGAAATACCATTTATCTGTTGTAGAAATCTCATTAGAATTAATAGAAATCATATGATTGGATAATACAAACATCACTTGTTGACATTGAGAAGGAAAGAAACCACGAAACATGCTGTTCACGTCATCATTAATAGAAGATGATGAAGTATGGTCCGAATTGGTTTGTTCATTGATCATAGCAGCATTGGTATGATTAGGTCGTGGTTTTGGTTTATAACCTGGTGGATATCCATGCAACTTGTAACACTTCTCAATTGTGTGTCCCTGAAACTTGCAGTACGAACAGTAAGGCCTGTCTTTGGTGTCATGATTATGATTATTAAACTTCTTGACCTGATTGTTGTGTGAATTCGATTTGGCCAGAAATGCAACAGAAGATGTATTTTGATTATCTTGTGATATCATCTTTTGTTTTTCTTCTTGAGCAACAAGAGAGTAAACTCGATTAACAGATGGAAGAGGATCCATAAGAAGGATTTGACCTCGATTTTGAGAAAATGACTCATTGAGTCCCATCAAGAAGTTCATAATATTTTCTTCTTAAAAATACTTCTCAATTTTCTGAACTCCAGTACAGGTACATTTTCCACATGAACATCTTGGACCAAAATTGTTTAATTCTTTAGTGAGAGACTTGAGATTAATGAAATACACTCTAATTCGATCATGATTTTGACTAAGATTCACAATCTTTTGCGAATCTAGAAAATACGTGGTCCATTAATTTATTTTTATCGAACTTTGAGATCGACCCAAATTTCCTTCGCAGATTTAGAGAACATGATACTTGTGGAGATTTCCTTTGAAACTGAATTGAGAATCCATGAGATAACAAGTTTATTGTTCAGCATCCATGGATTATGATTAACAATATTAGTAGAATCAGGCTCAGAAATAGATCCATCTATGAATCCGACATTGTTCTTAATAGAAAGATCAATCAACATTGATCGACTCCATGAAGGATAATTTTCACCATTCAATAGTCGAGAAACAAGAACGAAACCAAGATTGTCTGAATGATGGATGAAATAATGAGAAGACCGATCATCAAGAGGAGAAACAACATTTTGATTCGTCGTGATTAACGAAATCAAAGAAACAGGGTATGAATTCAATGATGAATTTGACGAAAATTTCAAAAGAAATCACGGAAGCAAAAATTAAATCTCTGATACCATATTACAAACAATAAAGAAATGAAATGAATTTTACAAATTGATTAAACTAAATCTATTACATCTTGTATCTGCTATAGGTAGGAGCATATAATTGAAAATAACGAACTACCAAATATTTACAATATAAACCCTCTACTTTAGATAACTACAAATAAGGCCCTTATATCTAGCTTTAATAGTAACTTATACTTTATCAATTTATCAGTTTGAGGAGCATACCTCAAATTTCGAGCAACATGGAGCTTTAACAGACTCCTTTATAATATTCTTACTTTGAAATCAACTTACTATTTCAAGATTATACTTCAATTTCTTCCTTAATTTCTTCTTCCAACTTGGATCGATAGCATATCCTCTGATTTGGCTTCCGATCACAAGGAGCAAATATATTTGACGCCATGAGATTAGAAACATTAGTTAGTCTCTTTCTCCATATCTTGCTTCGACTTGTTGTTCCTTTGTCCACATGGATGCCCTTCCGAAATTGATTTGAGTGAGTTTCATACAGGAAGCCTTCTTGATGGCCGCTACCTATGTCCGCTCAATGATCAATATCTTTGCTACGATTCGTCTCTGATAATGATAATTGTGAGAGATCGATCTTGGTTACAGTAGTATTCCGATTAAACCACAACCACATATTTTTTATTTTTCGTTTTAAAGCTCCAGCATACCGGCAAAGCAGGGTATGCCTAAGCATAAATGATTGTATAGCAGAGATGTATAATCATATGATTAGATATGCTTATATATATGTCTAATCGTAAATGATTATACATATATGTATCTTCATAGATTGAGTAATCATAAATAATTAATTAATTATGATGGTTATGGCAGAGGAGGTGGTGGTGGTATAGGTGGAAGTGGTGTCAGTAATGGGGTCGGTTGATAGCAAAGGTGGTGGTGATGGCATTTGTGGTAGTGGTGAAGGTGGTCGGGGAAAAAAGATAAGACGCCGCTGCATAATCATTTATGATTATAAGTTTCCCGTTGTGCCGGTACACCAAAGTGTTAGAGCGGCAAATAAGAAATATGTGATTAAGGTTGAATCTAAAAATTTATATATATATATATATATATATATATATATATATATATATATATATATATATATATATATATATATATATATATATATATATATATATATATTTTAATAGCATATTGTTAGCAAGAGGTACGGCAACCAATTTAGAACGAAATACAAAAACTATACTACACCAGCTTGACAACTTCATTATAATTATTTGTTCGTTAAAGTAGCCCCAATATCACGTTTAGATCATTTGCAATGAGTAAATTCAAAAGCAGCGTTAAATGCTATTTTTATATATCAAATTACAAGTACACCTATCTTCATCAACAATTCCAGAAAATCGATAACGCAAAAAACAAAAGTCTTGAGGTTTCAAAAATGGAGTATTTTATTCTGAATTTAATGCTCTTCATAACCACGATGATTCCAGTCATGCAGTTACCCGGCACGATGGCGCAGACCAGGCACATCGTCGGCGGCAGTTTGGGATGGACCATACCTTCCGGTGGCGCAGTCTCTTACACCACTTGGGGATCCCATCAATCCTTCACTGTCAACGACCTTCTCGTCTTTAACTTCACCGATGGAGAATACGACGTTGCGGAGGTTTCAGAGGCAGCATACGGCCCATGCACTGCCACCAACCCCATCTCCCTCGCCACAAATGGTCCCGCCACCCTTACCTTGACCACCGCAGGCACTCACTATTACATCTGTACATTCAGAAGTCACTGCCAAATTGGTCAGAAGTTAACCATCAACGTCTCAGAAGCAGCTTCCTCCACTCCTCCTCGAGCAACACCAGTAACTCCACCGACAATCAGGCGTCCTCCTAGACCAGTAACATCCAGAACAGCGGTGGAGACACCGAACACGGCAACACCCTTTGCTCCATGTCCCCGCATTACATCTACCCCACCACCACCTACTGATGGAGCTCCATCATTCACCGGCATGGTACCTTACACGTTCTTGATAATTGGCTTAGTTTTCTTGAATTGTTAAATTTGTATCATGTTTGTTTGTGTGTAATTTTTTGTCCATTAACTGAATGTAAAACGATTGTATCTTCACGCCATTTAAACTTGTAAGAATGTTTTATATTGACTAGAAATCCCAACAAATATATATATATATATATATATATATATATATATATATATATATATATATATATATATATATATATATATATATATATATATATATATATAGTTGAGTTCATGTGAGACGGTTTAATTTTATTAGACCGTGAGACATATTTTTTTTTTTTAGTTAATTCAAGTTCTAAAAATTATATTTAAAAAAAGAATTTTTGGATTTTTTCATTTATTTTGAATTTTAAAATTATTTTTTAGAATATATCAGTTTAATATTCTATTAGAATATTTCATGTATTTTTCAAAAAAAATGGAATTTATTTTTAATTTTTTTTAAATTTTTGTTAGTTCATTCAAGTTCCGAAAATAATATTTAAAAAAAAAAAAGAATTTTTTGATTTTTTCTATTTATTTTGCATTTTAAAATTATTTTTTAGAATATGTCAGTGTAATATTCTATTAAAATATATTTCACTTATTTTTCAAAAGAAACGAAATTTTTTTTATTTTTTTTAGTTAATTCAAGTTCCGAAAATAATATTTAAAAAAAGAATTTTTAGATTTTTTCATTTATTCTGCATTTTAAAATTATTTTTTAGAATATATCAGTGTAATATTCTAGGGAAATCTCCAGAAAAGTCCCAAAATTTTAGTCAAATTTATGAAAAAGTCCCAAAATAAATTTTATTTACAGAAAAGTACAGAATACCGGTTAAAACTTCGAAAAAACCCTTTTCGGCCGGTTTCGCAGATTTTGCCGGTATTCTGTGTGTTTTTCGTTAGTTTGCTCAAAATTTTGGGACTTTTCCAAAAATTACATAATAACCAAAATATTAGGACTTTTTTGAAAATTACCATGAAATTAATGGATATTATTATTAACAAATCTTTTATAAATTACATAATAACCAAAATATTGTTGGCCTAAGTACTCCTCTATTGTTTCTTGACCACTCAAACTCTCTACGTTCTTCCTATGCATTGTTGTGGGTATGATGGTGAGATGAAGTTAGTTAGCATTCCTCTAATGTTGGTGTTCTTCTTATGTTGTTTAACCTAACTACCAACCAACATTCATACCTTACATGTTAACAATCATCGGTTAACACACATCTATAAAATGTGAAAAGTGAACCCTGAATGATAATTTATATGGAAACAAGTGAAGGGTGATTATCTATTTAAATTGTCACTCAAAGTTTACTTTTCACTCTCGATAGATGTGTGTAATTTTATGGTTGTTACCGGGTAATGTTTGGAGGTTAGGTGGTAATTAGGTTAAAGAACATAATGAAAGATCTATATATTCGTGTAATGATATTTTCTCATAACACATGATCATATAACATCATGCTTAATAGCAAGTAGAAACTTATTGATTGTGTATTAATAAATATTATCAACTCTTGTATTGGTCACGCCTAATAGAGTACTTCTCACTATGACACCCACAACGATACATATGAAGAACATAAAGACTTTGAAGAGGTCAACAAACAATTGAGAAGTACATAGTCGACCATTCTATTTCTAGAAATTAACAACAAATGTATTTCCCTTGTTTATAATAAAAAAAATATTTTTTATGTTTATAAATGATTTGTTAATAATAATATCCATTAATTCCATAGTAATTTTCAAAAAAGTCCCAATATTTTGGTTATCGAGTAATTTTCAGAAAAGTCCTAATATTTTGAGAAAACTAATGAAAAAGGACAGAATACCGGCTAAATCTACGAAACCGGCCAAAAAGGGTTTTTTCAAAGTTTTAGCCGGTATTCTGTGCTTTTCTGTAAACAAAAATTAGTTTGGGACTTTTTTCATAAATTGGACTAAAATTTTAGGACTTTTCTGGAGATTTCCCTAATATTCTATCAGAATATATTTCACTTATTTAAAAAAAACATATTTTTTTATTATTTTTTATTATTTTTATTTTTTTTAGTTAATTCAAGTTCCGAAAATAATATTTAAAAAAAGAATTTTTGGATTTTTCCATTTATTTTGCATTTTAAAATTATTTTTAGATTTGGTCTCACGGTATCACAAAATTAGAATGCTCTCAAATGAACATGCACCTATATATATATATAATAATAATAATAATAATAATAATAATAATAATAATAATAAATCAAAGTGTTAGAACACTACAACAACACACACCTTCACCCACGACCCTATTTGTGGGTAATCAGTGGGTAATGGTCTTTATCCACAGATTGTCAACGAAACTAGATTCGTGGGAAAAAGCTCGTGGGTAATGTTTTCCCATGGACTACCCTCAGAATTACCCACAGATTATCCGCGAACAAATTTACCTATAGATTTACCACAGATAGTTTATCCACAGAATTACCCACAGTTTATCCACGAGCAAAGTTACCCACGGCTTATTCACGACTACATTACCCACAGACTATCCATGAGCAAAGTTACCCATAGCTTATCCACAACCTGATTACCCACGGGTTTTCCACCGTTCTATTACCCACAAATTTTCCACGGATGTTTACCCATAGATTTTCCACAAAATTGTTTACCCACGGATTTTCCACAAATATTCTTTTTGGGTGATTCCGTGGATAGTCTGTAGGTAACATAACAGAGTTCAAATGTTATATATTTACAAATTGCATAAAATCCAAATTTTTGCAGCTAATTGAAAAAATATAATATGACCAACAAAGTTTCAACCAAATCCATAAACTTAATCTAGAAAGTTTCAAATATAAAATCCACAAAAGTTTCAATTCCCAAATTCATACACGAGGCTTAGTGAGTTCCCCCATCATACCATATACCATACAATATTGTCGGTATCTTTCAACCGGTAACATTCATCGGTATCTTTCAACCGGTAACCTTCATCGGTATCTTTCAACTGGTAACCATCATCAGTATCTTTCAACCGGTAATCAACATCGGTATCTTTCAACCGGTAACTGGAGACTATTTCACCCCTACTACTAACATGCAATCAACATATATAAGCATACAGTCAGGCTTATCCAGGTACCGACCTACCCTTAGGTCGTACGGACCACTGTTAAGGAAACTAATCCCTACTAAACACATAACATATAATCCAGATAAATCACATAACCAGACCAAGATAATTATCACAAAGACAATTATCTTATAAATAACCCTTTTTGGTGGGTTGGCATTGTGGTCTTAGACCCATCCCTACTGGAAGGTAACTCACCTCAATGTCGTGCAGTTTCTGAACTATCCTCGGCGCACAAATCGACTCCTTACGACTCCTCGATTCCTACACGACAACCTTCAAGTCAACACACATTGCATACAACCCTAAACAGGGTCGGTCCATGTAACGCCCGGGTTTCAGGGCTAAGCATTTTTGTCAATGTAATAGTCTAGGTCAACTCTTGTAACTCTTTTTGAAGTAATAATGATGAAATATTTGAGTATTATGTGAATTATGTGTATTTATGTGCTTATTATTTAATTATAAATGTATAATTAACAAAGAATAAAAATAAGCGTCAAAATTAAAGTGTAGGATAAGCCCTATATCTCTACATAAAGTTGTAGTGGTCGAAACAAGGATTTCGAGGATATAAAGAACACCGAAATCCGAGTTATAACGAAGAAGTTATAACCCGTCGAAGTTCGCAACAAAACCGGCACGATACCGGAAAGCGTAAATAGTAAATTTACCAAAGAGCGAGATTTAGCCTTAGCAATCTAAACGAAAATCGTAGAATATGCTACACTAAGAATATCAATAAAAAGAACGCCCAAATCTGACTTCGTATGAAGAAGTTATGATTTTTCGAAGTTTCGAGTTAACAATGTACAACCTGAAATTCGAATATTAGATCGAGCGGTTTTTAGCCGGCATGACCTAAGTGAGAATCGAAGATCTCATTAAAAGTAGCGTAATGAGAAAAATATCGGCGAAAACGGATGTCGGATGAAGAAGTTACGAGGATTTAACGGACCAATCCTGTCCCGGCCCGTTAAAAATATAAAATTTAAAATTGAGTCAAAATTAGCCGACGAAAAGTAAACGAAAGTTGTAGAGTACATTCCCACCTTCGCGTGGATATAAAGAACATCGAAAATGGAGCTCGTATGCGAAAGTTACGAATTTTTAAAGTTGAAGCATGAATTTGCGAAATCTATTGCGAAGCTGATGACATGGCACGATGTGTTGGGTAAAACATGGGTAGATGTAATAGTTGCTGTGTGACAAAATAAAATAATGAGAGGCTTCATTATAGATGTTATTGATGATCCAGTCATCTAGCGGAGTATAGCTGACGACCACGGACTATTCTAGACAGTCCAGTGGAACACTAGCAGGCTTCCAACCTGTAGGTGTTTATTCGAACTGTGTGTTTATTTGAACTGTGTGCTCATCAGATGTACTCCATCCCCCACATGGTTGCCTTAAGGACATTTGTTGCTGAGGAATCTCCTTAGCAGTAGTGTCCATCCCGATAATAATCCTTAGGATAGGTCCCTTATGATAGATGCTTAGGGACGTAATGTGAGGATAACGGGAACGGGTAATCGGGTTTGTTTAATTTAATGAAGTTAATAAACTTATTTATTGTGGGTTGAAAACCCTATGTGCTCACCAGGCTCCCAAGCCTGACCCACTCAGTTTTATGTATTACAGGTAGTGGAGCTTGAGCATAGATATGATGTTTGGATGAGGGATTACGGATATAGGCCTGTAGATATGAAATAATGTAGTAAGGCTTATATTGTACTGTTTATGCTTTTGATCTGTACGAACATGACATCCTGAGTCTTTTAATGAAATACATTTCTATGGAAATGCTTTTGATAAATCTTTATCATATTTTGTTTTGGAACAAATTCCGCAACACTTTTATTTAAAATGTTACTCTGATTTTTTTAACAAAGCAT